CCCTCTTTTGAGCTACTGCATCCATAGGTGTAGGTCAAGTTCATCAAATTGTATCAGATTACTCTTTTTTTCCTCTTCTTTCTTCTTCGAGTCACTTCAACTTATGACCATGATATTACCAGCTCTGCTTAAGTACAGCCTTTCTTGAGATGGTAACCTTGATTTATAAATACACAGATTTACAAAATTACATAAAATACGGTTAGCCCTTTATATTCATTGCCTTAAAGGCATTTAATGCAATTAGCAGGTAGAGAGTAACCTAGCTGACTGAGTTTGGGAAGGTTACTCTTGACTGGAGGCAGCTTCAGCTGGTCTGGGAATAAGAAGGGAAGAAAGGTCTCCCCCTTTTTTAATTGACCCTCCACTTGATGTTCTTTTCCAGGGACTGGTCCCTACTGACAATGTATTCAAAGGATGAGAGATGATGTCTTGGCATCATTGCTTCTATGATCCACACAGTTGAATGCCTTTCCATAATCAATAAAACCCAAGTGAACATCTTTCTGGTATTCTATGCTTCCAGTCAAGATCCACCTGACCTCAGTAATGGCATCCCACATTCTGGTCCTCTCTTGAATCTGACATGATTGTTGGATTCAAAATGGCCAATACCAGTCCATTCCAGCTCATGAATGTCTAGAATATTGATCTTTATGCATTCCATTTTATTTTGAACTTCCAATTTTCCTGGATTCATACTTCATACATTCCATATTTTGATTCTTAATGGATATTTACAGATGTTTCCTGTCAGTTTGAGTTGTGTCCCATCAGCAAATGAAGGTTCTGAAAGCTTTTATTCAACCATATAATTCGGTTTGCTTTACTTTGAGGTGACAGCACTTCCCCACACATATCTTAAGTACCTGTTCTCCTGCTATTCATAAGGGTTTCAAGTGGCTAACCTTTGAGAGTCCTGGTGTGGTACTGTAGAGTAAGCACTGGACTGTTAGCCAAAAGATCACTAGTCCAACAGTATCCCTGATTGCTCCTAATAAACCCTATATCCAATCACTATGAGTTAGAACTGACTGAACAGTACTTAGCAATCCACCTTTCAGAAGTGGTAGTACCTCTCCTTCTTCCTAGCCAGTCTTGAAACTCTACTGAAATCTGCCCACCATTGGTGACCCAGCTGGAATTGAAAATACCGGGGGCATAGCTTCTAGCATCACAGCCACACAGAAGCCATCTCAGTATGATAGACAGATGAGTTATGGTGCTGTTGACTTAGTGTTTCCAAGATCTTGATGGTTTTCCTCGTTTTATTTTGATGAGAAGATTTATTTATTTTCTTTGAGGTTGTTGTTTACAAGTGCCGTTGAGTCAGTTCTGACTCATAGCGAGCCTGAATAAGGTTTCTAAGGAGTGGCTGGTGAATTTGAACTCCTGAGGTTAACCTGCAATTTATTAATGTCTTCCCAAGTTGTCTTTAGTATTTCTTATAAGATTAGCAATTTGTGATTGGTTTTACAAATTCAATCAATTTATGTTTATCTGGAACACTCCTAATTTTTCCGTCTTATTTGAGGGACAGTTTTGCTGGGTATATAATTCTTGTTTGGCAGTTTTACTACTTTCAAAGTTTTATATATGTCACCACATTGCTTTCTTGTCTGCGTGGTTTCTGCCAAGAAATCAGAACTTAGTATTATTGGTTCTTGTTTGCAGGTAACTTTTTGTATTTACTGAGCTGCTTTCAAGACTGTTTCTTTGGTTTTGAAAAGTTTGCTTATGATATGTCTTTGTGATTTTGTTTTGGGATCTATTTTGGGGTTCTTTGAGCTTCTTGAATGCATATCTTCTCATCTTTCATGTTATTGTTATTTTTGTTAAGTTGTTAAGTGCCATCAAATCAGTTTGGACTCATAGTGAGCCTGTATAAGGTTTCTGAGGAGTAGTTAGTGGGTTTGAACTGCCGACCTTGTGGTTCACAGTCCAGTGCTGAACCTACAGTGCCACTCCAGAGTCCAACATTATTATTAACATGAACAGTGGCAGTGGTGGTGGAGTTGTTTTTGTTGTTGAGTGCCATTGAGTTGGTTCCGACCCATAGCGACCCTGTATAGGGTTTCTGAGGAGCAGCTGGTGAGCTTGAGCCACCGACCTTGCAGTTCAAACGGCTTTGCAGTCTGGCGCATTAACCCACAGTGCCACACCAGGATAAGGAACTTTTATTTTAACAATCTTCAACAATTCTCTTTGTTTCTTCTTGTTCTGGAATTCCAATTATACATAAGTTATTCCTCTTGATGGATTTTCCACATAATTTTTATTATGTGCAGACACTAAGCAAGGGTCAACCCCAGATGTCCCTCCCACCTCACCTCTAGTTCACCCTCCTGAGGAGCCAGGAGGCATTCACCAGGGTTGGAGCCTGGACATGTAGAATATCTCTTTTGGCCTCAGTATCCTTGGTCATAGAATGGGTGCACAGGTTCATAGATTGCTGCTGAATCTGGGAAGGAGAATTCATCAGACCCAAATATCTTGGAATAGAGGTTGGGGAGAATCTCAGAAGAAGCTCTGAGGATTGTTTAGTATAAGCCCAACATAGAGCAAGCTCACAAAACAGGTGCTGTTGGCACTGATGGTGGTATTTTATTACCTCAGTCCCTGTCCCAGCACTCACCTGGCCAATCTCAAAAGGACAAAGTAGTTGGAGGAGGGATAGTGACTGAATTTATCTTCAAAGGGAATATTGGGGAAACCGAGGGGTGTGCACAAGGCCACTCAGTGGGTCTGCGATGACTGCCGATTACATCCGCCTAAGCTCTTTTTGCCGAAGTTCACTCCGTTTGATCTTGCCAGTGATGGTTTTGGGCAGCTCTGGGACAAACTCCACCTGGACGAGGAGAGAGCAGATCTGTCGTGACTCGGTCCTGCTGTCTTCCCCCCACTTCCCGCTGTCCTCCTTGTCCCCGCACAGACCCCAAACAGGATGATGCCGTGT